GGTGTGGGCTGTGTGTTTCAGACGGGGGGCTGGAAGAGCTGGTGGAAGAGCTCAACAGTGGGAAGGTGATGTACGCCTTCTGTCGAGTCCAGGACCCCAACTCTGGCCTTCCCAAATACGTCCTCATCAACTGGGTGAGAGCCTTGCCCCTTCTCTGCTCTTTAAAGCTTCCTACATCCTGCCGTCTGAAAACTAATGTCGCAGTATGTCATGTGAATAGGTGACGACGGTAATGTTCCTTATTACAATTCTAAGTCTGCTTTGTCAACAATCAATTAACCAATTACAGATCCTGGATCTCAATTCCAGCTGTCTAATCTTCAGAACTGTCCAAACGTCTGACGAGATTGGAAATGTTTGGTTTGAGAAATGGAAACTGTAATCCAGATTTGGATGTATTCAATAACGCTTTTCACCATATATTACTGCACTGAGATTTTACCCTCTGTGAGTAAAGGGGTTAGAGGAAGCACGTATTGTAAAGAAAGTCAAATTATTACCAACCTGGAAAGAAAACTGCAGTAAAGAATATGAACATCTCAACCATATGCAACTTCAAGAAACAGAAGGAGCACATTTTTTTTTGCAGATAGTTATGTACATAAGGAAATGAACAAATATAAAACATCACTTAAGGATAAAAGACGAAGGTCGGTGCAAGATTGGATTGGAGAGGTTAAGGCGGTGGATTCAGCAAGCAATGTTATTCCAGAAGAACTGAATTGTTATTCATTTATTATAATACATGACTCATTCTTTAACTGATGCAAAATACGTAATGACTAAAGGCTTGGTATTTTAATCTAAACTTCAAAAAAAAATTGAAAACTAGTTTTGCCAGAAGATTTGAAAACCAAAAATGTTCCCTATGCTACATTAAAAGTTGCAGTTCAATGTTTCCTTCTTAATTGCCATCTTTAGTCGAGTGTCTGCCTGTATGTGTTTTCTTTATCCTGGTTGTCTCCATAGAAATCAAGTTGAGTTTTCTTCCTTAACCACAGAAATGTATACATGAATGGTGGACAGTCCTCATCCGGGACAGCCTCAGTCCAGTAGGTTTTGCAGGTCACTCTCAAATCATTAATTTCTTTATAATGTTACTCCCATGAGTGCTAAACAATGGGAACATCTAACACTGAGACAGCAGAAGATCCCACATCCCAATTGCGTACCAATACTCAAAACTGACATTGAATGTCAGCCAAAATAAAAGACCAGTATTAAAAACTAATAAGAGAAAGAAGGGTCGTTTTTAGCTGTCTGGTCTTCAGCCCCAGCTTCCAGAAAAAAAAACTTAAGCAGGAGATTTATTCAATAAAGTAGTTTAGAAGTCCTCTGAAAAGAAAAGGCCAAGACTACAGCACAGTCACAGTGAATGTGCAGTCAGGTCCTGAACCAGTAATTAATTGGTTAATTGAGCTAATATCTCACCAAGCTATCAAGTGAAACTCTGAAAATTGACCTGTAAGACATACTGGCTTGTGGCTGTCCAGGACTGTCCCTGAACTGCATATAGTTGTAGGAAAACTCAAGACGCTGTTGTCTTCCTCGGCTCATCCTTACTGTTCCATGTTATTTAAAGTACTGAAGTGCTTTGAGAATGTACTGTCTGTGCCAGGCTGCTGCTCTTTTGCTATTCACTCTTCAGTTCAAGTGCCAGGGAATGACGTCCAGTATATCTGTGCATTTCAGACAGGAGAAGGCGTGAATGATGCCAGGAAGGGGCTGTGTGCCAATCACGTCAGTACCATGGCCAATTTCTTAAAGGTGAGTCCCGCTTGTTTTGACACGGGGAAACGGCAATCCTCCAGGACCAGGAGTGAATACTGACAGACTAAGGAGAACTGAAAACGAATCTGAGAAAGCATGTAACAGGATTTGTACATCTAGATGTTGCTGCAGGGAGACAGTAGAAAGAGCAGCAAAAGAGGAAACTGTTAACATGCATCTCGCTGTAGCAAAAGTTCAGTGAAAGTGCTTTGAGGCTCCAGGTGGTACCGCAGTAGCAAACGGGGTTATATAGGTCAATTTGTTAAAGTAAAAGCTGAAGGAAGGTGCAGCTGAAACAGGATCTCATCCTTTATAAAAGTTTGTTGGTTTTTTTTATCGAAATTTGAAATCTATATTTCAGAAGGTGCACTTTTCGAAATGCAGATAATGAATGCCCTTGGTTCCAATGTTGGGTAAAAGACAAAGCATGCACAGGAGACGGGAGGCTAAGCAATCCGTGCTTTAAGGAAAAGGGTTTGTTTGGAGTGTGCGGATCCGTCAAGGGCTCACTGTGTGTTACCTCTTTCAGATACCAAATCCACCTGCTCCATGTGTTGATCGACGAAGCTCTTCAGCAGTAGCTACTGATGCATAGTCACTGTATATTTCTAATTCTAATTATTGTGGAAACCACATGGCAACAGTTGCTTTGTCCTTCTGTGCGAGCCAGTTCTTCGCACATGTGGATGAAAAACTTTGATCTGCAGGATACAGTCTGATATCAATTACCACCATTAATCTGTCCCCAGTGCTGTCTCCTCCACTCCCACTGGGAATCTAGCCAATGATTAACCAGCCAGACTTGTTGTGTAAACCTTTCTCTTCACCCAGAAGTACCTAACACGTTGCCTATAAAAAAAAAGTTTTCAATTATTTTGAACCTGAGGAATGTTTTTGTGGCGGCATGGCGGTGCAGTGGTGACCCTTGCTGCCTCGCAGTGCTGGGGCCCTGGGTTCAGTTTCCTGGGTGTTACCGGAGGGACTTTTTATGTTCTTCCCATGTTAACATGGGTTTCCTCCAGGTGCTGCCCTTTCCTCCCGCAGTTCAAGCAACATACCGGTGGCTTAATTGGCTTCTGGGAATATTGGCCCTGGTGTAAAGTGTGCCATCTGTGTGTACCCCGAGATAGACTGGTGTCCCATCCAGGGTGTCTTGCTTGTAGGAATAGGCTCTGGTTCCCCTTCGACCGTGAATTGGAAAAAGTGGCTGGAAAATGGGAGGAAGAGGGGGATATTTTTATGGTTTTAAGGGGCCACACGGAATCAAACTGGCACCGATGGGCTGTGGAGCACAAGCTTAGGTGGGATAGATGGGGGGTCCCAGCTTTCGCGAGCATGGAGTGCGCTCGGCCTGGAGGAGTGACGGACGCGGTGTTGTTCCAGGGGGCCCACGTGACCATTAACGCCCGTGCAGACGAGGACGTGGAGCCCGAGGTCGTCATGCAGAAGGTGGCCAAGGCATCGGGGGCCAACTACAGCTTCCACAAGGAATCGAACCGTTTCCGGGACTCCGGACCTCAGGGACCAGTGGTGAGGGCCCGTCGGAGCGTCCGACTCTTTGCGAGGTCCAGAACGCAGAAGTCAATTGATGGGTAGAAAGCCTTTCTCCCTGCTTACCACCATCAAGCTCAACACATCCCAGCCTTCTTTAGAAAGGATGTTTAACTGAGAAGAGCTCAGTGGAACTGATCTAAAGCTCAAATTCAGCTAGATTTGGATGCTGGATTTTTATAACTCGCTTTATCTAATTCAGATTTATCTTTTAGAGTGGTGAGTGTTTGCGCTTTTCGTTGAACCCTGCGATGTTGAGTCTTTGCAGTGTCTATAGATCTTTGGTTTAGCAGCTCCTACAGCACGAGGCCGCACTGCGAGTGCTAGTTTGGATTTTGCTGGTTGAAAGGGGAAAGGGCTGCTCTCTGATACAGCTCGCAATTGCCACGCTATGCAGTGCTGCAGCAGAGTTGAGTTTTGATGCTACGATCTCTTTAACCTTTGGCTGTTGTCTGCAGAAAGTTCGAAGGAAGGAATCTGCTGTTAGATCTTATTTAAACCAGGAGTTACTTTAACAGTCCTGCTGCTTGTAAAACAGCTCTCGCTGTAATCATTGCTAACAGTGCAGGAGTTAAAAATCTCTTAGTTTTTTTTCCCCAATGTGGGTTTTGCCCTCCTGTGATCCAAGCCAACAGTTCCCATGGGCTTTAACTCAGTTTTATTTTTAATTATCTTGTGGCTTTTTTGTGCTGTTCCGTAATAGATGTGGGGTTTGTGAAAGCTGTGTCAGCATTGCTAGTGGCCGGACTGGGCTCAGGCCTGTTTACAGAGAACAATGTGGCCAGATGCTGTGTCAGTGTTTGGAAAATGTGACTGTTGATGAGTCTGTTTATGTCTGGTCTCTAGTTCATCTTATTTAATGCAATACTGATTTCATGACCTAGCAGATTGTTTGTAGCATTAAAATAACTTTTTTTTTTATGTGTTGAGCGTGGCATTTGAAAATTGCTTAGCTGGGTTTTTCTAATACCATGTTGTTAGTGTTGTGCAATTTCAATAAATAGAGGGATATCACATGACAAAAAAAAAACTTAATTATGCCTGTTTGCGATTCCCAGTGAAGAAATTCATTTTAAATCTGCAAATTTGAAACACGATGTGCCAGAACGTCTCTGCTGCCTGTGGGTTTTGTCTCATCAGTGCCTCACCTCTCACAGATTACAGATGTCTGTGATCACCATCCCCGAACCCATTTAACTCTCATTTCAGTCTTGCAGTTTCTCCAACTGTGTTTATGTTGCTTCACATTTTCATTAGGTATTGAGCTAGACATCCTGACTGTTCTTTTTAAAACAAAGGGGGCATAATGTACAATTACAACTGCAATTTTTAAAATGACAAATAAGAAACTGTAAATTTCCTTTTAAACAGACAAGTTGTTCTAAAATGTACACTGAAAATACAAGATGCTGCATATTTATTTTTCCATAAGTAACATTGGTTGCATCTTCATGTGTGTAGACATTGAAAGAGTGGCAAAACGGTGCTTTTAGTGTGAACTGCCAGCATCCCCAGTGTGTGACTCGTTTTCTTCTTGAGCACTGGTCAATACAAAACCCCCCAAAATGCTTGTCAAATGTGAAGAGTGGCAGACATTTTGCTTCTTTAGTTCATGCAGAGAACAAAACTCTTAAGTTGATGGTCTTGAAATGCCTTTGTGTCTTTGTAACAGATGGAGAAGTGTAGAATTAACGTGTAATGCTGTAAAAAATCATTGTTTCTGCAGGGGTCAGTGTATCAGAAGACCAACGCCATGTCTGAAATTAAAAGGACCAACAAGGACAATTTCTGGGCCCAGGCGGAGGTAAGAGTTTGATTCCAGGGAATAAAATCTTGTTTTTTGGGGTCTGTGCCTCCTTTTACTTTCTAACCTAAGAGACATCTCCTGATGTCAAGCTTGTGTGCCTGTTTTTGTTGGGGAAAATGACAGGCATTTGTCACCGGAGTCTTTCCTATTAAAAAAAACAAATGGATAACTGCAGTGTCCAAACATTACTGTTTAAAAAATGAACTAATCCACAGAACTTCTCTTTCTAAATTGGCTGATCTCCCAACAGATGGGAGAGAAAGTCTGCCTTTGTAATACAAAGGGAAGGTGAAGTGAATAACAAGTGAGTGGAGCAAGTTAACAAGTTCTGGGTAGTCCCAGGATACTGATCCCTGTTGTTCCGAGTGTAGCTGGGCAGGAGCAGGACTGTTACAGTGGGGTAGGAGAGAGCTAGAGCTGCCTTTCTTCCAGCCCACGCTGTTGGCAGGGGACTGTGTTGGAGGGGCTGTGTTGGCACGCCTGTCCCTTTTCTGGTTTTGTGGGGCTGTAGCAGTAGACGTGTTAATGATTGGAGATGTGGAAGTAAGAAACAAATCGGCAATTCTGAATTTTCAGGAAGCACAAATGCCATGAGATAACTGCTGCTGGTGTTCGTGTCCTTCTTAATGATGTGCCCCGGGCTTAAAATGCAGAGTAATCTTAGCTGAAACCTGTTGAATCTGCTTCAGTCAACCACAGAAGTGAAAGGCTGAAGCTCAGGTTCTGTTCTCCATGAGACGTATTTCTGGGTCCTGCAAATGGATGTAGCTCTCTGGGTCCTGGTGGGTATTCGCGGAAAGGTCCGTCCGCAGAGCTCGGCTGCGTCCTGGGCCCTCTCGCTGGGGCCAGCCCTGACCGCGCCTCTTCGCGTCCCTCTCGCTTGTCCGCTCGCGCAGAAAGACGAGGAGAAGAGGCGGCAGGAGGAGCGGCAGAAGGCCGAGGAGGAGAGGCAGCGGCTGGACCACGAGCGCAAGGCGCGAGAGCTGCAGGAGGCGCAGGAGAGGGAGAGGCGAGACCGGGAGAGGGCCAGCCAGATCGAGCAGCAGAAGTGAGTGAAGGAGAGGCTATCTCCATGGAGACCACATCACGGGTCTCCATGGAAATCCCATCACTTTATCCATGGAAACCCCTTCACAGGTCCAGCATCACCAGGTCTCCAGGTTTCCATGGAAATCCCATCACTTTATCCATGGAAACCCCATCATAGGTCCAGCATGCTGGCTAAAGGGATTCTATAGCTTGCTCATCTTGAAAACTCCATGTTATGCAGCAATGTAGGTGGGAGGCATTGGTAGTGTTCTAAGAGTCACATCTGCTCTATCATTTACTCTGACTTGGCAGACCGGAGAAGTGAAATGTAAGAGCACCATTGAGGCTTCTTGTAAGCGATGTGCAGTTCTGCAGTTGGATGTAGTTCCACGTTTAGAAAGCATTCAGAGTTGTGCTCCCCGAACATTTTGTTGAAACCACAGTCCCTGTGAAATCAAACATACACTGATATTAGTATGTCCTGTTACCATTTGGGGGATGGGGGGTGTCACATTTTGTAGGGGGGGTTGAGGGGTTAGTGTTGAAGAGGACAGATGTGAGAAGCATTTGGAGTGGATGCAATAAGACCTTGATGAAGACAGACACGAAATAACAGAAAATTTCAAGTGATGTTAATTTGATCCAAGCTGCAGAGGACTTAACCGAGATCAGTTTTGTGTCCTTGCTTTACGGACACATCTGGATTGAACATTAACAAAGCTTTACACCGCAAACCGCTAACTTTGTGTGCTCGACAGGAAGTATCAGCAACAGCAAGAAGCTCAAAGTACAGATCAAGAGAAACAAAAATGGGTGAGTGAATCAGCAGTAACTCTGCCATTTATCCTCAAAAGCCTTATCACAGCTGTGACTGATGTTACACTTCTCCTGGCCGATATTCCAGTCAGATTTAAGTTGTAGTTCAGGACAGAAGTACTTTATCTGTGTTGTATGGTGTGCGGGAAATTTGAAATATTAATGATTGCTTTAAGTACAGAGATGCAATTTCTGCTGTTGAAAACTGTTGCAATTCCCAGGAGGCCCAAGAGAGGGAGCTCCAGGCTGCTCAGAAAAAAGGCTTCAAGCGCAGTGGGTCTGTGGAGAAAGCTAATGTGAGTTGTTCTTCTCACCATATTTACATCATGTATACTACGGAAACCTCATGTCTGTCTCACTTTCGCAAGTTTATTTTTGGGAAGGCTATGGTAGCACTGTGACCACAGTTAAAATAGCAGTGGCTGCCCTCCGACCAGATTCGTATTTGGTTTGAACCTGCACTCTGAAGGCTGAGAATAGCTTTTCTCACTCTGTAGTTTGCGATCGGTGATGCAGGATCTTACGTAGGCTGAATGTATAGATTAGTTTGTCACTGATGCAATTTTTTGCTTTGCTGAAATATTAAGGAAAAAAAACTGTTGGAAGGTGCTAAAGCGTAGTTTTGGTTTTAGTAGGCCTTTTTATATTGAAAGTGTCTTTCACCACTTATTCATTTAACGTCCTCCTTGTCGATCTGTCTGCTCATGAAGGTGGCTTGTCGGATTATAGCCTCGCGCTCATTGTGTACTCTCTCGCGCAGGAGGCTGCTGCTTTGATCTCCCAGCGCTCTGGGAATCCCAGAGAGATGTTCAAGCAAAGAGAGAGAGGAATGGCTGCGGACAACAGGGATACCTCTGTGAGCTCACAGCCAGGTAAGAGTTAAGGACATGGACTTTAGTAAAGAGGGGGTGGGTGCTTCAAATTTGAATCGGATGAGTTGGTTGCTTTGAGCAGTTAGGAAATTAAAAATAAATAATAAAAATCACTGTCAATTGAAGTTTTGAGCATGGCTATGTAAGTATCTCTTTCAGTAAGTCCTTCATCTAGCAAAGATTTACATCACTTGAGTTTAATGAGGAGATTTTAAACTCTACATGTCCAAATTGAAGAATTGAAGCCTAAGAAGACCTTAAGAGTGTTCTGATACATGGAGGTATACAGAATGTGATGATGCTTCCAGTCCTAGTGGTTTCGTGACATTAGTGAAGTCTTTCTCTTGCTAGATCTCGGAAAACAAGCCTATTCTTTCATGTAGATCCTGCCTTGTTTGGTGCTGATCGTTGCTAATGCGGTGCTTCATCCTGCTGTGTGTGCTGTTGGGGCTTAAAACGGAGGTGTTCATCAGCCTTTTCGGAGTCTGCAGTCTCATTCCAGTCTTGTCTCACGCCTTCCTTTCTCTGTCTCTCTCTCTCTGGCTTTGTAACGTGGTGCCCCTGTGTGCTCTTCCTGCCCCTCTGTCTCAGGGCGGTTACACAGCCCCTTTCTGTCAAAGCAGCCCGGCGAGCCGGAGCCTCCACGCTCTCCCCTGCGCCAAGCATCGCCTGTGCCTGCCTCGCCCGCCTCTCCTGCCCATGCCACAGGTCTGACTGCCACCCAGACACACGGGCACAAAATACATCCTAATGGAAACACTGTAAATGCAGTAAATAATTAATAATAATAATTGCTTACACTTATATAGCGCTTTTTCTGGACACTCCACTCAAAGCGCTTTACAGGTAATGGGGACTCCCCTCCACCACCACCAGTGTGCAGCCCCACCTGGATGATGCGACGGCAGTCATAGTGATCCAGAACGCTCACCACACACCAGCTATCAGTGGGGAGGAGAACAGAGTAATGTAGCCAATTCATAGAGGGGGTTTATTAGGAGGTCATGATTGGTAAGGGCCAATGGGAAATTTGGCCAGGACGCCGGGGTTACACCCCTACTCTTTTCGAGAAACGCCCTGGGATTTTTAATGACCACAGAGAGTCAGGACCTCGGTTTTACGTCTCATCCGAAGGACGGATAAATACATCCGAGTGGAGTAGTAGAGGCCTGACTGACCGGGCTATTGCAGGAAGACAGTATGCAACAAGTGAAAGAACAAAAAAATGATTCTTTTGCTGATCCTTTCTGTAATACAAAGGCAGTAAGAGATCTGCACAAGTGAGAAGCAGTGAAGCTAGGTCTACTTTTAACACACTTGTTCACTTATTGGCAAGGAATCAAGCTGTAGTGTACAGGGTGTGTAAGAGCAGGTGTCTTTTCCTCCTGTCAGTGCCCAGTGTCCTGGAACAGGCCCGGTCCCATTACGAGGAGCCAGAGACACCCAGTGAGGAGCAGTGGCAAGGTGGGTTTCATTCCACGGAGAAGAAATGGTGAATTCTGGTTAGGCCCCGTTTGCCTCCGATTTGCTGCAGGTGTCCCTTGAAGGAAATATCTACCTTTTTATCAGTTTGTATTGTAGGTAATGTATTGATATGTGACAAAATTGCCTGCTTTGGATTCCTAGATTCAATGACTGTAAAGGTCTGTGTACAAATTCCTTTATTTTCACAGTAGACAGTAGATGCTGGGCTAGAATAGTTTACTGAAGAACAGGCCTAGGCTGATGACCGTATTATGACTGGAGACAAATCCCGTGATTTAATCTCCCCTCACAGAAGAGCAGCCTGCAGCTGATGACAGTTCCAATGTGAACTCGCAACAGACCAGCCCTCCAGTGGATGATCTCTATGAAGTCCCCCCAGAGCCTGACCTGTATGAAGAGCCTCCCAAGGTATGAGCATGATCCTTCAGTAGGGCGGAAGTCGAGATCCTGGGTGCCATTTATTCTTACATAAGGACAACAGTCTTCACCTGTTTTCCTCATAAATCCATTTGATGTTATTTAAACTTGGTACTAGACAGTATCTTTCTGTGCATGACGTTCTGAAAACGTACTCAAAACAGTGATATATAACAAAGGAATTTTTGCGTCGAGGGTAAAATGAAGTCTTTTTGTGATGCAGCAGTGTGCTTGAAAGTTTAGCCTTCTATGCAACTAGGGATCTGTTTTCAGCTCATCTTGAAGATAATTCTGTAGTAGGGATGTAATGTGTGTTGGAGATCTTGACATCAATTCACTCCTTTAGTGATTCAAGGATCATTAAATCCCAACACTCATGGGGTCTGGGATCTCATCTTCTAAGAGGTGCCAAATGTTGTCAGTAGATTCCCTACGTAGGTGGGTGGTTTTAAAAAGGTTTTTGAATCACTTGGATGAGCAGGTTTATTGAAGATTGATTTACAATTATTTTTAGGGGCGAGACACAGAGGTAACACTTCTACTCTTATGAACGGTGCCATATATGATGACCACATTGGGAGATCAATGTAATCTCTCATATTGGACATGGCACCTTCTAGACCACAGTGTCCCCAGTCACTATACTGGGGCATTGGTTTGGAACTTCTGATCCAGTGGGCCAGTGGGAAGAGTGACCCATACAGGTCCAACGACACCACTTACAACAGAAATCTGAGATTTTGGGGGTTTCTCTCCCAATACTGACCAGGCCCAGCCTTGCTTGTCTTCAAATTGGATCAGGCGAGAAAGTGCTAACCGAGAAAAAGAAACCTTCAGCTCTCATCTTCAAAACCGTTTCCACCCAGTCAAGATCCACGGTTGTCCCACAGAGCGGTGATCGATGTCTCTTGTTTCCCCCAGGTCGAGGAACAGAATACTTATGACTACTCTGCTGAGGGCAGTGCAGACAGGGGTACCTGTGCACGAGCCCTCTATGACTACCAGGCTGGTGAGTGCGATCACTGTGGCTTTTGTCCATACTGTCTGTTTTATGACATTTATAATCCTATCCCATCAGAACAATTTGTGCAAGAGACTGAGTATTTGTTTGTAAGTGTTTAAATGTATACTGCAGTATTACAGTATCCCATTTAGAGTAATTTTCAATTCATGCCCATTTCAAAGTTACATCAGGCTGTTCATAAGGTCAGAGAGAAGACCAAGCCATAAGACCCATTGCGTTTCCTGTACAAGCTAAAACATTTAAGACAATACATTCCCTGAAGAAGTTTATTTAATCTGTAACGCTAGGCCTAATGTGAAAGCGTAAAATGTGATTGGGCATTTAATAGGAAGTGCTACATACAACCAATGAAAATTCTCATTTTACAGGAGCCCATTGAAGACAAAGCTGTGGTTCATCTTATTGATTTGACATTACCCAATAGTGACTTTTACCTAGAGCAGGGGTTCCCAACTGGGGGTTCGTGAGACTGTGATGGGAACGTCAATGTCAAATTAAATACTCCTGTTAATAAATAATGTAATAATAAGAATAAGAAAAACAACAGAAGTAATATTAGTGTTTTACAAAGTAAAAAGAAGCATGTTAAGAGGGTAACTGTAGCATTTATCTACATTTATTGAAAGGTTTGGTTTAGTTAAAGTCTCAAGGGGGTACTTGAGACAAATAATTTAGGTTGAAGGGGTTCAGCTGACAAAAAAGGTTGGGAACCCCTGATCTGGAGTGAGAATTATGAAATTACAGCAAGTTGTGTTTAAGACTCTCATTTCTTCCACAGCTGATGATACCGAGATTTCTTTCGACCCTGATGACATCATCACCGGGATTGAGATGATTGACGAGGGCTGGTGGCGGGGCTATGGGCCTGATGGGCGGTTTGGAATGTTCCCAGCCAATTACGTGGAGCTGGTCTAAGCCTTGCACCGCCTACTCGCTGGAAACTAATGCCAGAAGGGACCATCCCCAGCAGATTAACCCTGCCTACCAGGACTACAGTAAAAGATCTGGGGAGCCACTAGTACTTTAAGGCCTTATCATGACTATTGTTGTGCCATTTCAAAGGGTCCAATACTACAGAATAAGGACCAAATCAATTGAATATTAGTTGTGGGATTGCAGAACTTTAAACAATAACATTACGGAATATAGTCTATTTGGATTTTAGAACTTTTTTTAAAAAGTATGTTGTACCACTGCTTATACACAGTTATTTTAAAATTAAGACTAGGCATGTTACACCTGTAGTGTCAGACAAGTAAAATGTAAGGACACTGTATTCAACAAGTTTTAAATTTGTGGGCAAATTTTGAGTTTAAAATCATTTGGCAAGTTACACTTATTCTTAAAGTAATTCCAAACTCCCCTTCTTCAGCTTTATCTTTGGCTACTTCAGTGTACCTTCTTAAACAAGTATCCCTCTGAAAAAAAGAACAGGACACAGCGTGCAGAATGTTTTCGAATCTAATGTAAAGTAACAGTTGTGTACGGACCAAACAGCGCTGAGGTGCTTATTTAGCTATGAATATGTCCTTTGTGCTAAAGCTGGGATTCTGGGCTCATTCTGCCTTTAATTCTGAAGGGATGGACTTTTTTGGGGTTTAGCGTCACAAATTCTTATGATTTTAACAAATCTCTGTCATCTGATATGCAGAGGTCACTGTGCTCGGGAGGATGATAGGGTGTTGGTATCTGTTTTCTCCGAGTCCGTTTTACGGAAAGGCAGGTCCTTTGGCAATAACTGGAGAGGACAGATATTCTGTGTGGATTCCAGAGTTCCCAGTTTGCTTTTGAAAGCAACTGACTTGGCAACGCTGCACTGTGAACAGCGGCAATTGTGTTAATGAGAGCAACCTTGTTCACCATTAAAAACAGCAGGAATAATGCAGGCTCCAGTTTTGCCTTTTCGTAAATATTGAAAGATCATAACCTTTTGACGTTAGTGGAATAAGGATCAACACATTTCTCTCAAGCTTCACTTGTTCTCATTGATACTGATTTTTATCATTAGTGGGAGAAACCAGTAACCATGGCTGACTCGTTTCTGCCATCAACACCCCCTAACCCACTAACATCCAAAGATTTGTGTTTTACCTATGCCGTGCAGTTATGAGTGGAATCTGGGTTTAACGTTATTTTACTTGGTATCTGTAGTGACAGCGAGTGAATGATGATCGGTAGTTGTCTGAGACCCCAAAATCCTTTCCCTGCCTGTTATTTGAATTGAGACCTCATGTCTTTTCGTTCTTCCGATAAGACCAGCACCAAGAATGAAAGTGTAATCAATGCTTGCTTCCAAATCTTGCACAGAAAATCTGCTCTGCTACAAAATTCTAAATTTCTGTTTTTTTTTTTTCTTTTTTCTGTATTTTTTGTTCATTTGGAATGATGCGCTTTGGAAATGTAGAATTGTCTGTTTTTGCTGAAGATCACGGTGAAGTGTTGCGGTGTTCTGTTTAGGGGCCTTGATCCTGGGTTTTCAGTTTTTCCTCTCCCATTAGGGCTCTGGGTCTTGTGGAAGGGATCTCTGTGAGTGTAGTATCCCAGCCATTGAGTGCTCCTATCAAGCTTCACTAGGGGATACTGTGTGGAATTAGCAGGGGAGTACTGTACAACTATGCGATGGTCACAGTGCAAATCATTTGACTTCTAGCAGTTTTTAATGTGCTACAGGAAGGCTAACTCTGAACCATTAAATCCTAGAGTGCTCTCAACTCCTTATCTCTCTTCTCTTGACTATAACCACAGTATTGAAACTGGTTACCGTTGCCTGAATCACCTTCTGCTTTTAAAGTTCAAATCAAGCAGTTTTGAAAGAATGATTAGTCTCAGAGAAGCTGTCACCTTGATTGGAAATAAAGGAATTTAAAACCGAAGAACACGTTTCTTTGCTTATTTCGACTTGTGTCCTTTTAAGCACATCCCGTTGGAAGTGTTGGGGGGACCTCGTCTGAAGGATGGCTTCTGGTTTCTGGTGTGCAGAACCGTCCTGAACAGCTCGTAGTTCTGCCTGACCTCACATCCAGTTTTGTTCATGAGTTGAAATATCCTGTTCGCGTCTCCTGCGTTTGCTGCTAGGTGATAAAATGAAAAAAAATTTTCGGGGCAAACTTTTTCAGGAAAACAGTGATTTCAAATACCTAGGGAATCTACCGTTTTGTGACAGCAAGCTCAGCTATCGAAATTTTATTTCTGACCTATAAGAATGTCGGTTTTACAGAAAGATACGCAAACCGCTACTTTACGCAACAGTAGGACTGGCGCTTATTTTTTTTTCTCTCAGTTATGTACTTATTACAGAACATATAAAGGTTTATTCCATGTTGAACAGAAAATAAAAAAAACGTTTCAGCTGTGGAGTCTTCTTTGGGTGTTGTTGTTTCTGTTCTTCCCTTTTCAGCATGGAATAAACCTTTAGTTGTTCCTTTGCAGCCTACGCATGCTGACGCAGCTCCCTACTTGAAACTATGTACTTATTACAGCTAGCACAGGACTTTCCAAAATGGATTGGAAATAATGTCATTTTTATCCATGAGGAATATTTTATGTAAATGTTTTTTTATTATTTTCAACGTCGCACGCAATTTCTCTGTTTAGTTGGATTTAATTATTGATTGATTTAATTCTTTTGGTCTTCACCAAAATAAACCTTTGAAATATTTGGTCAGGTTGATGGAATCCCAAAGGCACGAGTATTAATTAAATGATCCACAAGGGGGAGATCTTTACCTATTGCAAAGCGCACAGCTTTCAAATACTATTTAACATAACGATCAATGATCATTTTCAACTGATTTATGGAATTTTACTTATTTTCTAGACGCGTGTTGGTGGGTGATAAAAGTCAATAAGTCAGGTTGTTCGTTTGCTTAACTCCGTTGAAATTAAACTTTTTTGTGCATAGAAATCTGAGTTTGTTGGGTAGTACAGTAGTCGTTTGAATGTAATATTCTGAACGGTATTGTGCAGACGATTAAGAGACTGGAGTAGAGACCAGGTGTGCCCCCTTTACTGTTTATAATTATTATAAACAGTTTATAATTATTGGAGGTGTCTAATTATTCCAAAGCAACGTTTATGAGTTGTGTAAAGTTTTCATGTAGCATAGTTAATTAAAAACATGCACTTATAGTATAGTATTCAAATATAGTATTCAAATCGGCGAGTTATTCCTTATAATAAGAACAAGTGAAAGTAACATAAATTGCTAGCTAATTAGAGGTGAAGTTATCCGAGCAGCGGAAGTGCTCAGGAAATATGACTGCATTCATTAATTGAGGTTTGCCTTGTAGCAGCAGTGTACAGTGTGTGTAGGAGTGCGTTGGGGTCAATTTTAATTCTAATATGAAACATTTGGTAACACCTAGCCCTCTCGATACACGCTGGTCTGTTCGCAGATGTCGCACAAACCACTTGTTGAGTCATTCGAAGACATTTGCAGGATGTTTCGTTCTTTATATTTTTGTGGAGTTAACCTTAAATTTAGACCCCGTTAAAGAGATGGATTTCGAAGGGTAGTGGTTTAGTGAGGCAATGCACGAGGGAATTTTGCGTTTTAAACGAATATATTTTTTGTCCCTTATCCAGTCTACTATTCCAATAAAGCCACCTTTTACTCTGTCGCATTAATATTTCCATAGTTAAACATTTAGGCTAGATGTTACGCTATGAGTAAAGATAGTTAATTACAGTAGTTTACAAAATTATTTCTGCAGTTGGAAACGCTTGATTTACATGTTATGTCAGTAATATTCCTATACGTCTGTTATTTCGAAGTGATTAAAAATACTTAGTAAATTTCGGGGACTTTAAGAAAAAAAGACGGTTTAAAACCAAGATTACAGTAATGAAGTGGAGTGAGTATCAGTTTTAGTCTTAAACTAAGTGTTAATTAAACTTCATACTCCAAGTACACTGCGTACCCGGTTCTGTTTCCTGGAATTAAATGACAATACGATAACAACGGCTGGGGATTTTTATTGTTTTGTTCACCTTAGTTTCAGTTTAAAAGAAAAGACGGAGGTGATTTTATTTTTCCCCTCATTTCAACAGAAGCCCAGCTAAAAAGTGTCACGTTTTTTTGTCCATTAAGCAGATTTCTGACACCAAACGTTTCAAACACGCTGTAGGTCTCATACAGAAGCTTGTTTTACGGGCATCTGTCTTAATGGCGTCAACAAGGACACAATTGTATATCTAGTTCTTGGAACGTGGCGCGCTTATTGTAATAATGTGCCGAAACTCCCAATGGCAGAAACAATGTTTTCTTTAACGTGCCTTTAAGTTCTTTGGGTTTGTTTAATCAAACTCTTAATTGAACTAACAGGTGGATAGATTAGAAGCTTGCATTGCAAGTTATTTTTGTTCTATTCTAAAGCTAAACCTTAAGCTATAAAAGGTAATAGTTAAAAGGCAACCTCAAACATGTTGAGGAACTGAAAGCAATTAATAATTTCAGATTTTATTATATTATTAGATCAATTAAGAGGTAAATTATGCAGCTGTGCAGAGCTATAGATAAGGTATACAGAGGTATACAGGTCCTGTGCACCAGGGCAGGGAATGGCTGAGTCCTGGGTGCAAACTTGACTGGTACGTGTGTCTTGCAAGAAATGCAGATCTACCTCTGGATTCTGCTGTTTTTGGGATGTGACAAAAAGCAAATTCTATTATTTCTTTAAAAGAGAACTTTTGGAAAAATGAGATCTCAAATTGAAATATCAGTGTCATGGGGTGCAGTCACCCTGTCTATAAACTCTGTAGATCTCTTGATTTGGAGGCATAGCAGGGATGTGTATATCTATTAGGGACACACTTATTAAATTGCGCGGGTTCATCTTTTATTCCATTGACACTGCTTGTATCTTAAGGATAAGAACTACTCTGCCCTGTCCTGCTTTTTTTTTTTAAAGATCTTGGGTTAGCATACCCAAGTGTACGCTGTATAAAACGTCAGGCCGTAAGGATAGCAAGAGTTTGGAAAAAAGAAAAGGTAAAAGGCAACAGGTTCTAATGGAGTGCTGTGTAGCAGCTTGCACGCTATAGGAAGCAAAGGTAGAAATAAGAAAACTGTTTTGACTGGAGAGACATTTCTGGGTTTAACACCTGAAAAAAGACCTTATTTTTCTTGTAGACAAACAGCCAGCTCAACATGCAGCTTGCTTATTTTCTATTAGACTATTAGACCCCATTGTGTTTTATTTAAGGTAGAAATAAACATCTGAACTTCTTTCCACCCTTAAGAACTGGAACAGAAACAACTAGCCCAGGAAGTACAACAGAGGGCTTCCTATGCCGTCGCTTATCTTGTGACTGAATCCCTGTGGAAACTTTTCTTTGTCTCCAAAGTACAGCTTTCAGTGATGCAATAAAGCTGCTTTGCAGATGAACAAGAATGTTGTTTAACAGGAAAACCTTCAAAAAAAACAAAACAAAGCTTGTCAGTTTTGAGAAGGAACCAAAATTCTGTTAGATGCTATCATCCGAGTGTTACATCCCTTTGTTTTCTAAAGATCAGTATGTACTGTACCCAGCAATACAGGCCTACATGATGAACCAAAAGAAGCTCAGCCTTATTAAAATGAGCAAATTTGTCCCCTCCCCCCCCCACACCCCCAGTGCTAGTTTTGCACCTCATATAAATATCAGCTTTCTGGATCAAAGGCTGCATTTGTGTGTGCATGATGGAATTTGACTGTCGAGCAGTGTTGCTATGTGTAATGTACAACACATGATGCACATGTAAAACTGTTAGGTGTCCCCGTGTGTGTGACACTGCCATGGAAGGAGGAGAGGGGATTTGGCAAAGAGAATTTCTGAGGGGTGGGGTGGGGGCATCTGTATTTTTTCAGGTTATTCCCCCCTACTTGTGGAAACTTCTGCATATTGTCACTGATGACTCACAACAAGAATAAAGAAGAAAAACTGCTGGTTTCATCTCTGCAGTGAAGAGTTAATCTCTTGATTGAGCTCAAATCTCTCCTCTTTGTCTCTCCTTCGTTAATTGTTTGAGGAATGCACAAGAATGAAAGCAAAGACATCCATAGCCCAGATCCGAGTCTCCTTCATTTCAACATCAGAACTGAATTTCATTAGCTCTCTGGTAAAAACACCTGCTCATAAAGATTGTTACTCTTGTGGTTATTGAAGTGTTTTACAGACATTTTATCAAATGTGACCTAGTTACATCTGGGTACTTTTCTGGACTCTGAACAATTATGTTGCTGGGATAAACAACACGAATGACCTGCCTAACCTGAATTTCACTTGGAAAAAACCTCAAGTAGCCAATTCCAGTGAAGCTGATTTAAAGAATAAGACAACTGAGGCTTGAATCTCTGGCTAGTAAAAATGTATAATTTAAAAATGTGGAGGTACTATGTGCTGTGGTCAGGAAGCACGAAGCAGAAACAACACTTCAAAGGAAAAAAACACTGAACCTTATTTGTCTCAAATCATAGTGTTTAAGTGCTGGAAGTGCTAATGATCACGTGAGTTGCTGCCTTTGAATATCATTCATGCTGAGTATAAAGAACAGCCCATCGGTGTATTCAAATTATACTGTAAAAAATCCCAAATAATTAGGGACAGTTATGGCAGTGCTACAGATGATGCATTTATTGCCACACATAGCTTCACTACCACAGACCTACATTGTCCCCAGGGATAGTTTTCAGCCTGGTTCATGCTGTACAGTGTAGGTTATGACCTCTTCTCTGGTGGCCTGATAGTTGAATGACGGAACTAATTTGTTTAGACTTTGGAAAGAATCTGGTTTTAAAAACTGACAGCTTTCTTAATGTTAAAGACAAATGTTCATCAGCAGTACTTTAATGTTTTGAAAAGTAAAGATGTTCCACGCAGTTAAAAACACAAT